GGGAGCTGGATGTTTTTCTGTGTCTCAAATCATTCTGTATCTTGGGGTTTTGTATTGCTGAGGCAAGTGATACAAAACAACCCCAGGAGAGTTAAATAAATCCCATCCACAATTTCACCTAAATATTTAGTTGTACAGCAGGTCTGAGATTCCATATTCACCAAGAACAAGAAAGGAAAACTGTTAATTGTATTTCCATAAAGATGTAAAGCCTTTGAGAACAGATATTCATTTTCAAAAAGAACATTTTTATTCCCCACAGACAGTAGCCAATGGGCTTTCTTAATGTCTTCCCTTATTTTCCATTCAATTTGAACCATATCTCATTGCACGGAGCATTGTCAAGGTTTTGACAAGCAGAATAACTCATTTCCCTGAGCTGCCATAGGCAGAGAAGAGAATCAGAACTGTCATAATCCAAAGCAGATTCTTCCTGAGTGTTTATATTTGGGGATTTTTCAGAGACTTGCTGTGTGGGTTGCAGCATGTTTGGATTTGCATAGGGAGCTTAAGAAACAAAGTCATTAGCACTTTCCCTCATAACTGTCAGCAAAGGGAAAAGCAAAGTTATTAGTAAATTATTTGCTTAAACTGTAGCTGGGGCACACATCCACAGGTGCACACAGGAAACATCCTTTATGAACTGGCTATTTTAATGTATTATTTAAACAAAAATGGAAAAGTTTTAAGAAGAGCCAGGGCTGGATCAAACCAAGGCTCCCTCTAGTCCAATGTTCTGTTGGCCAACCAGCTGTCTATAGGAAACTCACAAGCAGGACATGAGTGCAACAGCACCCTCCTGCCCGTGTTCCACAGGAAGTGGCATACATAGTCATACTGTCTCTGATACTGGACATAGCATAGAGCCATCAGGACTAGTAGCCTCTGATAGCCTTATTCTCCATAAATTATCCAAATCTTCTATTAAAGCCATCTAAAATAGTGGCCATTGCTACAGCTTGTGGGAGTGAATATCATAGTTCAACTATGCACTGTATGAGCAAGTACTGCGTTTTATTGATCCTGACTCTCCCACCCATCAGCTACAAGGGAAGACTTTATTTATTTATCTATTTATTTATTCCGATTTATATCCTGCCTTTTTCCTACAAAGGGCTCAAGGCAGCTTACATCATTCTCCTCCTCCATCTGATCCCCACACAACAACCCTGTGAGGTAGGTTGGGCTGAGAGTCTGTGACTGGCCCAAAGTCACCCAGTTGGCTCCATGGCTGAGCGGGGACTAGAACCCAGATTGTCTGAGTCCCAGTCCCATGCTCGTAACCACTACACCACACTGGCTCTCACACTTTAGGCTCCATTATTATAAGAGAGTGAGAAAAAAAATCCCTATCCACTTGCTCTGCAGCATGCATAATTCTGTACACATCGGTCATGACTCCTTTACCTGACTATTTTCTAAACCAAAGAATCTGAGAAAAAAAGAAGTGGCCCTTTCAAGAATCTCACATGGCCAAATTGTGACTCTAGAGGGTTGGATTTGGCCTGCATCCTTCTGTTCTCTGCAAAGAGGAAGTCATATTTTGAGAGGTCCATTTTTGTAATAGAATATTCACAAAAATGCATGCAAAAATAAATCCATTAGGGTAAATGTTTGTAATGCATTGTAGTAGGAAAATTGCTTGCAAAATGTATTAGACAAAACACACACAAAAATGCATGTATTAGCAGGAATGTGCATACAAGTGCTTAAGAATTGCCATGCAACTCTTTAAAAATGTGGAATTGCATGAATTTGTGACATTCAAGGCAAACCATATTTAAGACAGGAAAAAAGAGAACAAGAAATATCGAAATTGACTGATTCATTCATCCCTAACAGAGGACAAATAAGCCCAGAATCTGGCCTGAGTGCTGACTCAGTATGAATGTGTATGTTGGAGCCCCCTGCAACTGTCATTTGGAAGGCATTATCACTATTTGGGAAAGGAAGTGGGCAAGCTTTCAGCTGTCCTACTGGGTGACTGCTACATCAGCAGTACCCTGGGCCTGAAACCCATTCTTAGCTGCGTATGCGTACAGGGGTACCTTGGCTCACGAATTTAATCTGTTCCACGACTCTAGTCGCGACCTGAATTGGTCGCTAGCCAAGTCAAATTTCCCCATAAGGTTCAATGTAAATAAGGTTAATCTGTTCTGTAAATATTTTTTTAATCACAAAAATTTCAAACAAAGTAACAAAGAACAACAAAGTAACAAAGTACGGTACAGTTGAAAACACTAACCTAGGTGGGGGGAAGGTTAGTGTTTGGAGGGAGATTCCAAACCATAATCGTGCGATAGTGATCATGGTGGGGGGGGGGGGGGAGATGGCCGCAATCGCGATCGTGCTCAGGGCAGAAGACAGACTGGATTGTGCTTGGAGGGGGGAAGACAGGCACAATGGCTATTGCGCTCGTGCTTGGTAGAAGGGTGCAATCACGGTCGCGCTTGAGTAGGGAAGATGGCCGCGATTGCAATCGTGTTCATGTGGCAACATGGCTGCGATTGTGGTCGACACCCAATGCGGAGTTCGCAAACAGAGGCAATTTTTTTCTGAAATTTCTGTTCGCGACCCGATTTGGTCATGAAATGAGATGTTTGTGAGCCAAGGTACCACTGTACTTTTTGCTGCCTTGAAGGGCATGTAGGAATGCAGCCTGAGCCCATTGAGAGGTCTGTGGAGATGAATTCTATTGTCTTGCGTGCATATCTGTCAAAAATTAAAATGAGTTATAAAATAAACTATTCCCATATGGTCAAATTAATGCAAATTGCATCATTCCGGTGAAAGTAAATCTATGTAAATATAGTCAATTGAGTATGTTTCCCATATCTAAAATCTGTATTCTAAAAATGACAATTCTTTTGTGCCCAGTCTTTTATCTGCATCCATTGATACATATTCTAATTAGAATTTCCTTTATATGTCGCTGCAGAAGTAGATTAATTTAAACAGTCTGTTTAGCATGCCAGAGGGTTCATGGGCAGCAAACACTCACATTGACTTTATTAGCTGGGATGTGATTTTTTTTAAAACCCCTTTAGTCTATTGGAAATGTCATTGTATTATTAAACAGGCACACTCTCTCTTTTTACCCTGATGAAAGAGCAGCTTCTTGAAATGTGAATTTTCAGATTACTGCTGTTGAACAATATGAGAATAGCCTTCTCTTCTCCCCCTCATAAATTAATAGCGGGGGAACAAACTATATCTGAAAAGAGACAGGCAATTTTATTAATACCTGGGTCTAGCTTAGAATGGATGATAGACGTTATACCAAGACAATTCTTGAAATATATATATGTATTCTTCATGCTGGCAAGGAATAGGAAGCATTTATCAAGTGCTACCAAAAAGTCAGTTATTTGACTGGTGCTTTATTTTTGTTTGCGTTTAAGAAGGTTATATACAAATCTGAAGTTTGATGTAATAGAGCAAGTCCAGTCATAGCTAAATAGTTTCGTGCTATTGAAAGAAGTGTTGGATTATGTAACCTAAAGACATAAGGGCAAAGTGAACCCACCTTAACTATTTACTCAGGCAAATACAATTCAATCAGCTTTGACATCCATATTTGAAATCACATTTTAAAACACAGACACTCTTTAATTTAACACCGGCAGGAATCATTCAGATAGCAATATATTCCTTAGGTCTTAAAGAGAAGGTAACATTTCTTTCTATCAAAACAATGACATTCATTTTTAGTCAAATGAATCAAAAGCTTATAGAAGCATGTGCATGTTTTAAATATTTATGTGTAGAAAATTGGCAAAGATGTTTCTCAAGTGAGTAACTTCTAAAAATAATGAGTTGAATCTTTTATATCCAATGGAAAGCAATTAGTTAACTATAAGTAGTTAATCATAACTAACTTGAGTCCCATTGCTTTCAAAGTTCTCTCTAAATATGACTAAGTCTGTACCTAAGTCCGTACTCTAGAAGATGTATTTTAAACATTTATTAAGCCATAATTCTATTACTTAAAGTTAGGATGTTCCTAATCAGGGTAGCCCACTCAGTATACCAATTAATGAATTAATGCAAGTATGAACATATACTTTAATTAGCTATAATTTCTAACTAAGCAAGTATTTATTGTTCTCCTTATAACTCTGCTCTGCATTAATTATGCTAAAATGTAAGGTGACATTGCTGCTGCAGCTTCATTAAAGAATCCCTGCTCATAAGTAACCTACAGTTCAGTGTATAGAATTTGGAGACTATACAGAAACTCATGCATCTATGGGAAATCATACATCTGTAAACAGTCACCACTCAAATCTCCAACTTTCCATTCAAGTGGCTTCCAATGGTTTAAACAGGATAGGGAGAAAAACTATACTGGAGAAAATATTGCTAATTCTGTTATCATGGCAGCTGGTAAAATGCCATCCATTCTCATAAGAACCGCTACTGGCTGTATCTTTGTAAAGCCTGCTTCTTTTCCTTACCCTGGTTTCTCACATCATCATGGAAATATGATGATGGCAGAAACCTGTTGGATAGAAAGAACTGTGGACATTTTTCCATTTTGGGGAAAGTAACAGTGTGCATCAACCATAAATGCAACTGGAATCAGTGGATGAGATTTCTATGTAGTGTGTTTAGCAGTCAAATACCAATTTTACACTGAAAATAAAAATGTGGCTGCACTACTTCTCTGGAGAGGGAGCATAGCTCAGTGATGGAGCACTGCTTTATATGCAGAAGGTTCCAGGCTTTATCCTTGGCATCTCCAGGTAACAAACATTCCAGGTGGCAGGTGAGGGGAAAGACCTTTGCCTGTGACCCTAGAGAGCTGATAGTAGTCCAATAGACAATACAGAGTTGGAAGGACAAATTGTCTGGCCTGGTTCCAATGCTCTCGATAGGGATTCTGGTATCCTTGGTGACTGGAAGCTGAATATGAATACCAACTCATTTGGAAAGCATTGCATTAGAGGCAATGTGAGAAAACATGGAAATGATATCTTGAGGTGTGTTCCCACATACAGGCTGTTACTTGCTACTGTGGTCACTACATGCAATTCCTGTGTGAAACTGCGCTAGGTCAGCTTGCTATATATCTGAAGGACATCTGGGCATGCTTTGTACCAAGGATTCTGCCAAACAAAAGCATTGCATCCATCTTACTGGTGATTTTGAAATGTGAAGGGGATGCAAATTGGATTATTGCAGCACTGGATCATCCATCTGCTATTGCCGAGCCTCACACAACATTGCCAGGTAGGCTTCTATTTCTAATGAAATCACTCAGACATCTTCCAAAGTTCACAGGCTCACTAGAAGCTGCAGCATTCATGTAACCACTGTCAATTTTGTCCACTGGGAAAAGCAATGTAAACATTTCAAAAAGTAAGTGCATAGGTGTGACAGACATGTAATTTCCCCAAAGCATATAATCAAGCAAGTACACCATGCTAAACATGCATGCACTGAGACAAATATATCTCTGAAAAAGGCAAATATAACATAATCGATAGTGTTACATATTTTATGACTGCATAATTCCCTCTATGTGAGTGTCATTGCTCATGAAGCCCAAAATGGCACCATCTGACACAAGAGGGAAGTACAAGCAAACTTGGAAGAACTCCACAGTTTGCAAAAGTGCTAAGAAATACTCCTAAGTAGTGCAGGGGGGCAGCCCTAAACATCCCAATTACACAGAGTATTCAGCTGTTTAACTGGACTGTTAAAGGATTTCTCCCTGCTCTCCCAACTCCCTCTGTGCGCGTGCGTGTGTGTGAATTTAATTGCTACAGAATGCTAACTGAATTTTGGAGGGGGAGGACAGGGAAAAACTGAGAGGAGGCATGGAATAAAGGTGTGAAAAGGATAAACATAGCTGATGAGCTCTGAGAATCCAAATGATGATGAACTTTTCTACACCAGGCTATTAATTGCTGCATCTTCTTTTGGTTTGGTTGCAGAACTGACCTCTGAGATCTGTACAAAGCACTTTTATTCTCATACTTCCCTGCTACATGACATCTAGGTGGTGCCATGTTATGGTGGAATATTGCAATTTTGCACGTAGGAATGTACCTTTTCTTTCACTTCAGAAAAAACACCCTATTTTAAAAATAACCCATCTAAGGGTGGGGGGGGTGTGTTAAAAAACAGAAGTGAAAGTGGAGGATCATGCATCTTCTAAAGAACCCATAAATAACCATGAGTAAGAAAGTCTACTAAAAAGTCTCATGTAGAAAAACTCAAAGATCTGCTGATCTTTCCATCCTCTGTGATGTTACTTTCAGTGAAAATAAGGCACACATGTGCACACCCAGGGAAGCTGTCCAGTGTTGGGAAAATTTGGATAAATCCTGGCAGAAAAACATTGCTTATGTGCTTTTGTGTTATAAAATCAAATCTGCACTCTTTCTCAAAAGCACCAGCTTTCCAAGCCAAGTCAGTTTAAAATGGCACTCCCCCCTCCTTTCTCTCGCTCTTCTCTCTGTAGACCAAAGCAGACAGGCCATTCAGTCGAATATGCATTCACCACTACAATGTAGCTACATAATCCCTGCAGGAATTCAGGGAAGTATCTGTTTTGCTATCCCACAGTGCTCGCCCTAGCCAATCAAAATAGTGCGGATCCATTACTCAGGGTCTCAGCCTTCCTGATAATGGAATGTAACACACGGGCTTATGATTTCAGGGAAGAATTCTTAATAGCCTGAATTTACATGTCTAAGCAGACCCGGAAATGGCTTCAAGTTTCTGGAATTTATTCAACTGAAATGTCAATACACTGCAATTAGAAATATTGTTACTTGTATGTTTGGCTGATCTTCCTCATTTATTCTGTATATGATGACCTCAGAATTTCGTTGTAACATCTGCAATCCGACATCAATAGCTCTGTACCTGTGTACATGATCAAGAGAGTATAAAATGCCCTGTACTTGCATTGAAACCTTGCAGTTGAGTCTACCTCTGCCTGGTAATGCATTATCATGAGTAGACCCTGCAGGGAACCTGGGGTTCAAATGTCAGTAAAGTAGCAGAGGTTCGAACATTTGATCTTTCCCACGAACCCAAGTTTTTATTTCCTCCTCACAAATTGAAAACTGAGATTCTGTCACCAGTCACACCTTACTCCTAAAATGCAAAACAATTATTTAAAATTAATTGTAATTCCACCCTTTGAGTGATTAAATATGTTGAAATATTCTGTATATTACAGCTTCTAATTTAGCTTGCTGGCAAGAGAACTAAATAATTGCTAAGGCTCAAGGAGAGGGAATATTGAGCAGAGGTACCTAGGAGTGTCCAGTGGCTTTACTTTCACATCATCAAGTGCTCTGTCTTGATGTGAAACCAGAGTAACTAGCCATTGTGGCATGACAGTCATCATGGTGTGGTAGTTAGTGCTGTTAGAAACACTCTTTCCTTTCCTTTGGAAGAGAAAAATATTTGAGGCAAGCAGAGAGTTCTTTTTGAAACTGTATTGCAATAAAGGGAGCTGGAACGGTTTCCTTCCCTTTTTCCAACTCCCTGAGCACATATTTACTTTCCAGACTTACACCTTCTCCCTGTTGCTTCATCCTTCCTTCCTTTCCCCTCATTGGCTGGGGCCCTGGGAGTTTACAATCTTTTCCATCCGCCTACTCTGTACTGCTCCAATAGCGGCCCTTCTCTCCCACGTCATCCTTCCCTGGTTAATTACAATAGGCTCATTTTGAACCGCTGGGCCTGTCAGTCAACATTCAGGAAGTCATTCCGCAAGTACTCAGCCATTTTGTCTACGTGCCAATTTCCTCACACTCTGTGCTATCTTATCTCAGCCCCCTTCTCCTTTAGGCAAGGAACTTTCTTTGTTAATTTTTTTTAACTCTTCCTGTTTCCTTGTTTCAAATCATCCTTGCATCCCTATCACTGCTGAACAAGGACTTGGGAGATTCTCCACTTGGCCATGAAGCTCATTGGATATCTTTGAGCCAGTCACAAACTCTCAGCCCAAGCTACTTCACAGGGTTCTTGTAAGGAAAAACTGGAGCTATGTGAGCCTCCTTGAGTTTTCCACAAAAGGAAAAAAGGTGGAATATAAAGACAGTCCAATAATAATAATAATTTAATATTGTAATATTACCTTGTAATATTACATTACAGATTACAAATGCACTTCCAGTTATGATTGCAGTCTCACTTTTATGGAGGAAACATGGTTAGAGTGAATATTGGTTTGCATCAAGAGGAAAGATTGGGAAGGATCTGTTTTGGACAGGGGTGGAAGGACTCCCCTTCTAAGGCTATTTCTTAATTTAGAAGTTATGGTTGGCTGCAGGGAAGGGGGCACATCAAGGAAGTAATGTTGGAAACTGGATATTATAAATAAACTTCCTTCCCTCCCACCACCTTGGTATGTTTTCACCAACCAAAAAAATCTTAATAATGAATATTAAAATACCTTAAGGGTTAATTTCTCCCACAACAGAAGCACTTTTAAATCAATGTGAATAACATGAATTTTTTTTAAATTCCTCTTGTTTTTTTTTTGTTTTTTTTGCAGAATGTGTGCTTATGGTGTCCATAGTAGAACAGCTTTCCCAGGTCCACAACTCTACAGCAAAAGAAGCTTTGGAGAGATTCTGTAGCTACTTACCTGGTAAAAAGCAATATATCATCTGTCAGCTTGTTCACTTCTTATTATGAGTTTGTGCCTATGACTATAAATGTTGCATCTGCTATTAATAGTCATAATAACTTGGGTTAATGAAATGGAAAGATATCAAATAATTATACATGGGATCTATTTTTACTCTCTTTAATGTGACAGTATTCAAAGGCTTATCTTCTTTAAATATGTAAAAATAGTAGTAATGACTCAGATGGAGGACCAGTTTATATAATCTATAGAAGCATATAATATTTTTCCTGGACTGTGCCACTTCAGGCTCCAGATACAAAAGAAGCATATCAAAGTGGGCCCTTGTGGGAAAATATATATCATGTGCCTAGAAGAGTAGCATGTAAAGAAGTTAGAACCAATTCTTCCTGCCACGCAGTGTTTCTTTCTGCAGAGACATTTTCTGTTTCCATTCAACGTGCCTATCGAGACCATTGCTGTCTGAAGTAATACATTACAGGCAAATCAAACTCTTTTATAAAATCATTTTGCATTTTGAATTGAGGAATTTTTTTATTGAGTAAGCTGTTCACAGTATGAGCCCAAGTTATGTTTCCCAGATGCTTATAGCAACTCGTTCAAACCTCATGCTGTGGTTAGATTGTTTTATTCTTTTTTCTTTTTTCTTTTGCCTCACTTTTCAGTCACTGACACTTATTTGCATTGTAGTGATAAGCAGATTACATGTGACATTAATACAGTGATTAGCAACTGTGTTAGAAATGTTAAACAATTAAATAGTGTTATAAACAAAAATAAAAATAAACATCTTGCCACTGTTGGCAAGCTTGAAAGATGTGTGGAGGGTTGGTTTAAGCTTTTCTCCTCAGCCACAGTCTTCATGCAATTATACCATTGCTCTCAGTGCTGCAATCAATATTAGGAGAAAAGATCCTATTCGTACCAATGGGAGTATTTTTGCTAATGTAATTGTCACAAACAGAGCGTGGAGAGCATGGCTGGAGAGAAAAAGCTTCAATCTCTTTTGCTTACACGTTGCACTCCCCTACCCAATGCCGGTGTTTTATTTTGTTAACAGAACATGAAATAATTGCTAATTGTGCTCTTAACATTTCCTTGCAGATAGGTCCTCACTTACCATTTTCTTGCCCATCCAACCACTCTGAAGAAATCATTTTGAGGGATCCGGGCAGTTTTCATGGGATTCCATTCTCCACATATTTAATAATGGGTGTCCTTACCAAACTTGGCTATCCCAGCTTGCCAATTTTGGATGCTCATCCCTGCCAACAGGACCTTATGCATTAGTTGTACAGTTCTTGAAGTGTTTGTTTATACCATTAACTTATGACATTCATCACCACAAGATACTTATTTATGTATGAAAATGATCCTGCCTTTTTGTCATGCATGGCATCTCAGGCAGCTAACAAAATCCAGTAATAACACCTCAAGTAAATACAAGTGAAACAATCAGAGAAGAAAGCAACCACGACAAAAATAATACTTAGGAAAATAATTGGCAGGGACATTTTACGAAGCATTGACTTGCAGCATATGGCAATGATTAGTACTTTAGGTAGTATTTGAAACAGACTGGACAAATTCATCAAAGATGTCTCAGCAAGTGACAATCTGCTAGTTGTTGTTGTTAGTTGCTAAGTCATGTCCGACCCATCACGACCCCATGGACAACACTCCTCCAGGCCTTCCTGTCCTTCACCAATCCCCAGAGTCCACTCAAGCTCACACCAACTGCTTCAGTGATTCCACATAACCACCTCATCCTCTGCCATCCCCTTCTTCTTTTGCCATCTATTGTTCCCAGCATTAGGCTCTTCTCTGGGGACTCCTTACTTCTCATTAGGTGGCCAAAGTATTTGAGTTTCATCTTCAAGATCTGGCCTTCTAAAAAGCAGTCTGGGTTGATCTCCTCTAGGACTGACCAGTTTGATCGCCTTGCGGTCCAAGGGACTCGCAGGAGTCTCCTTCAGCACCACAATTCAAAGGCCTCAATTCTTCGGCACTCAGCCTTCCTTATGGTCCAGCTTTCACAGCCATACATTGCAACTGGGAAAACCATAGCCTTGACTATACGCATTTTTGTTGGTAGGGTGATGTCTCTGCTTTTTAGTATGCTGTCTAGATTTGCCATAGCTTTCCTCTCCAGGAGCCAAGCATTTTAATTTCTTGGCTGCAGTCACGATCTGAGGTGATCTTGGAGCCCAGGAAAACAAAATCTGTCACTACCTCCATTTCTTCCCCATCTATTTGCCAGGAAGTGAGAGGACCAGATGCCATGATCTTAGTTTTCTTAATGCTGAGTTTTAAGCCACTCTCCTTTTACACTCTCCTGCTTCACCTGCATCAAGAGGCTCTTTAGTTCCTCTTCACTTTCTGCCATTAGAGTGATATCACCTGCATATCTGAGGTTGTTGATATTTTTCCCAGCAATCTTAATTCCAACTGGGGATTCATCTAGCCCCACCTTTCTCATGATGTGCTCTGCATATAAGTTAAATAGGCAGGGCGACAGTATACAGCCTTGCCAAACTCCTTTCTCAATTTGAACCAATCAGTGGTTCGTGTCCATTTCTCACTGTTGCTTCTTGACCTGTATATAGGTTTCTTAAGAGACAAATAAGATGGTCTGATACTCCCATCTCTTTAAGAACTTGCCACAATTTGTTGTGATCTATACAATCAAAGGCTTTAGCATAGTCAATGAAGCAGAAGTAGATGTTTTTCTGGAACTCCCTAGCTTTTTCCATGATCCAGCTTATGTTGAAAATTTGATCTCTAGTTCCTCTGCCTCTTCGAAATCCTGCCTGTACTTCTGGTAGTTCTTGGTCCACATACTGCAGCTGGAGCCTAGCTTGTAGGATTTTGAGCATAACTTTGCTAGCATGTGAAATGAGTGCAATGGTGCGGTAATTTGAACATTCTTTGGCATTGCCCTTCTTTGGGATTGGAATGTAAACTGACCTTTTCCAATCCTGCGGCCACTGTTGAGTTTTCCAAATTTGCTGGCATATTGAGTGTAGCAGTTTTACTGCATCATCTTTTAAGATTTTGAACAGCTCAGATGGAATACTGTCACCTCCACTAGCTTTGTTGTTGCTCAGACTTCCTAAGGCCCATTTGACTTCACATTCCAGGATGTCTGGCTCGAGGTCAGTGACAACCCCATCGTGCTTATCAGGGACATTGAGCTCTTTCTTGTATAATTCTTCTGTGTAATCTTGCCACCTCTTCTTCATCTCTTCTGCCTCTGTTAGGTCCCTGCCATTTTGGTCCTTTATCATGCCCATCTTTGTATGAAACATTCCCTTCATATCTCCAATTTTCTTGAAGAGATCTGTGGTCCTCCCTATTCTATTGTTTTCTTCTATTTCTTTGCACTGTTCATTTAAGAAGGCATTCTTATCTCTTCTGGCTATTCTCTGGGATTCTGCATTTAGTTGGGTGTATCTTTCTCTTTCTCCCTTGCCTTTCACTTCCCTTCTTTCCTCAGCTATTTGTAAAGCTTCCTCAGACAGCCGTTTTTCTTTCTTGCATTTCTTTTTCTTTGGGATGGCTTTAGTTGCTACCTCTGGTACAATGTTGCGAACCTCCGTCCATAGTTCTTCAGGCACTCTGTCTATCAGATCTAATTTTTTAAATCTATTTGTCACCTCTACTATATATTCATCAGGGATATGATTTAGGTCATACCTGAGTGTCCTAGTGCTTTTCCCTACTTTCTTCAATGTAAGCCTAAATTTTGCAACAAGAAGCTCATGATTTAAGCCACAGTCAGCTCCTGGTCTAGTTTTTACTGACTGTATAAAGCTTCTCCATCTTTGGCTGCAGAGCACATAGTCACTCTGATTTCTGTGTTGACCTGATGATGTCCATGTGTAGAGTTGTCTCTTGGGTTGTTGGAAAAGAGTGTTTGCTATGACCATTGTATTCTCTTGACAAAATTCTACCACCCTGTGCCCTGCTTCATTTAGTACTCCAAGGCCAAACTTGCCTGTTATTCCAGTTATCTTTTGGCTTCCTACTTTAGCATTCCAGTCCCCCGTGATGATAAGGACATCATCTTTTGGTGTTAATTCTAGAAGGTGTTGTAGGCCTTCATAGAACTGGTCAACTTCAGCCTCTTCAGCACCAGTGACTGGGGCATAGACTTGGACTACTGTGATGTTGAATGGTTTGCCTTGGATTCGAACTGAGATCATTCTGTCATTTTGGAGATAGTATCCCAGTACTGCTTTTCCCACTCTTTTATTGACTATGAAGGCTACTCCATTGCTTCTGAGGGATTCTTGCCCACAGTAGTATACCTGATGGTCATCCAAATTAAATTCACCCATTCCTGTCCATTTTAGTTCACTGATTCCTAAGATGTCGATGTTCAGTCTTGTCATCTCTTGTTTGACCACATCCAGCTTGCCTTGATTCATGGATTCATAGGAACATTCCAGGTTTCTATGGAGTATAGATCTTAGCAGCATCGGGCTCTCCTTTCACCACGAGATACATCATGAGTATACATCATGAGTATCCTTTCGGCTTTGACCCAGTTGCTTCATCCTTTCTGGCGCTAGTAGTACCAGCCCTCCACTCTTCCCCAGTAGCATATTGGACACATTCCAACTTGAGGGGCTCATCTTCCGGCATCATATCTTTTTGCCTTTTGGTACTGTCCATGGGGTTTTCATGGTAAAGATACTGGAGTGGGTTGCCATTTCCTTCTCCAGTGGATCACATTTTGTCAGAGCTCTCTGCTATGACCTGTCCATCTTGAGTGGCCCTACACTGCATAGCTCATAGCTTCATAGAGCTACACAAGCCCCTTCGCCATGACAAGGCTGTGATCCATGAAGGAGAATCTGCTAGTACATCTCTTTACAAGATTGTGGGGCAAACATCAGGGGATCGATCCTTCATCCCCTGATGTTGACTTCCCAAAGCATCTTGCTCATGATTCCTTCGTTGTTGCATTACTTTCTTCCTTCGGTTTCTCCTAAGCCATCCATAGCTGAGGCAGTATTCCTGAAGAGAACATGTTTTACCCATAGCAATTCTAGTTATAAAAATGATTTTACTAAAATTACATTGTATGCCTCCTTTCTACAAGAAAAGGCAAGGGAAAGCACATGCACAAATATGGCAGAAGCCCATCCAGGGAGACTGATGACTTCTGTGTCAAGTGGGCTTTTGAGTGTTCCAAGAGCTATCATGACACTCCATGGTTGAAACTACTTTGGGGGTGAGCTCAGCACTGTAGATAGCGCCTATAAAGCACAAAAGAGAAAGAAGAAAAATGAAAGGAACCTAAGGATCAGGAGCTCCTTTTGCAACTTTTACCAGCAAAACCATTTTGTAATGTTTCAGTAGTTGTATAATCATCATTCCAATACACAAAATCCTACTTCATCTTTCCAGTAATTTTTAATGCTCCCCACTGGCTAATGTAGGAAAAAGAAAACTTATTCCAGTAATGTTTGGAAAGTAGAATTAGTAATTAATAACCTGCTCAATAGTTAATTGGCAGGGCAAATTTTAATTCATGAGGCCAAGATTGAAGGGTACTTTTGTTTACTTCTGAATCATTTTGGCTTTGGTGTGTTGCTTTAATATCTTATGAAAATGAAAATATTAAAGATTCCTGGTAAGGGAAAGTTTCTTATATTTTACTCAGTATCCACAAAAAGACAAAAGCACAGTTTTTATCATTTATAAATTTATTTAAAAGTGATTGTTTAATTAAATGTTTCAACTAATGATCAGACAGTCGACAGCTTTAACTAGGATGCACTCTAAGTTATATGGCATAAATCTGGTGTTGCATCTGTAGCCCTTTGCTTGTGTAACACCTCCTCCCCCACAGCCTCCTGTACATCCTCTAACTCTGTTTGAAAGGTTTAGATGGGACATGGGGATTGCACCGGGGGGGGGGGGGCAGGGATCAACACCATTGGATACAAGACACAAAGTAACAACATCAAGATGTATTTTCAATTATACTCTCAAGAATCTGTAGGGGGCATGTAAGAGAACACACTCAGAAGGACCTAGTTTGCTCAATCCAGCTAGATTTTACAACCCAGCTCTCCAGCACCCCAACCGAACTCTCCATTTGCTGCTGGTCACATTCTGTCCTTCTAGCAAGCCCTTGTGGAGCATTCCACTGCATGTAGTTCTGTCCCCACCTTCCATGTGTCAGGGAATAAGATCTGGGGACACACTCTACACATGCAGCCTCACTAGTGGAACTAATTAGGGCCTGTACACATACCAGAAAGTATGGTCTCTTCCCCCATTATTCACATAATTGCATGGGGAGAATGCCCCAGAAGGCTGAAGTACCTGTTGAGGGCAAACTAGGCCTAGCTAGAACATCATGTCTTGCAGATGGACTCCCCACAAGACTTTTGCTGTAATGGGGTAATGGTCTGGAGGGTCTTTTGGTTGCATCCGGCAAGGCAATTCTTATGTTCTTCAGTGCCTTTTCATGAGTTCTCATGCAGTATTCTAAGTACTCACTTTTAAAATGCATTGTTTTCCAGAAAAGCTGAACTTGCAAGGCATTTGCTTTTTGATTACTGAACTATTTGGACCAAGCTTAATTAAACTGTGAGTATTAATAAGCCAAATAAGTGAGCCATTTTGCCCCAGTAGCATGGGCTAGGGGTGAGTGCTGAAGTGGTGGTATAATGTAGAGAAGGAGTCGCTCATCAGGGCAAAGCTGATGGTGGGCGTTTCATAGTCCAAAACTTCAGCAAGCTAGCAGCTTGCAGAAAGCTGCTCTATCGATCTAGAACTTTTCTCCTTGCCTCTCCAAAATATATTAATGGTGCTTTTTACATATTGTTCTACTTCAATGAAGTTCGGCTCTTTGTTATACAAACAGAAAGGTAATTGTAATAGGGACATCAAATAAGCCAAAGTTTACTTTGGTTAGACATGGAATTTCCAGAGAGAAGTCAGGGACAGAGCCAAGTTCAAACATGTGGAGTATCTGTCAAATGTAATCAGAATTCCAAATGGCAGCATCAGGCAGAAGTCCAGGGGTCTAAACACAGATCAGCATCAGGAATACTAGAGCTGCAGCAACAGCATTATTTCCAGCAAAGGAAATAAGACAGGCGCGATCACGGTCATGCTTGGGCAGGGAAGACAGACATGATTGTGGCCATCCCCCCCCCCCCCCCCCCGCCCCAGCACAACCATAATCATGCCTGATGGGAGTTTGTGACCTCAGGCAATTTTTTTCTGAAATTTCTGTTCATGACCCAATTTTGTCATGAACTGAGGCATTTTTGAGCTGAAGTACCACTGCATATTAAGAGGGCCTCCTGAGTCCTACCCAAGGCTCAGCTGCAGTACATTATGAGCCTTGCTACGAAGGAGTTCCATCCTCTTGTGGAGTCCTTCTGTGGAATTGGATGGGACTTCTTACAGAAACCCTACTGACTTGCCTCTTAAGGTAATAACATCCTCTGGGAGTAGGTAGTCATTCAGCCTTTGACTCTAAAACAGAATGCCCCTCTTCCTGCAGGGATGGACCTTGCACCCCTCCCTTGAAGGCACAGAATACCCCAGGTCTCCTGATATGGGTAGTTCATTCCATGTTGCCATCTATCCCTGGTAGCTCCATCTGTTCAAAGAAGAAAGATTCTTGCAGGAGGGGCATGGCATAAAACCCAATTTTAATAAAACTGAATCTCTTTGGGGAATCTATAGATAGCAAGACCTTGGCTATGTGTGCTTACTCAGTTGTGCATACCTGAGGAGCCTCTGTACTGTGCCAGCACGCTGAGGATATTTGCATAACAAAGAAACACAGAATGTGCACACACTCTCATTTGACTGGAGTGCCAATGATATTATATTGAACAATCCTAGCTACACTAACATGCAGTCTGGATTTATCCACTATTCACCCTGTTCCCAACCTTTGCCTTTAATACTGCTGCTTCAGAACCTTGTCAACTAATATTCTTTTCTCATTAAAATTGAGGATGTATGAACTTTATGATTATATAATTTGGTTTCTTTTGAGCTCTTTCATATCCAACTTAAAAATAAAATAGTACTTCCACAATTAAAAACTCAGAAAGGTCATTTAAGTTAATCTGACACTTACTCTACAGCAAATCTGACCAAGAAGGAAAAACTGGATTCCATAAGTGATTCAGTATTTAGATAATATTCTGCTGAGTTCAGATATGTCAGTTTGATGATCAACAGTCAACTTTTAGTCTTTGCTGAGCATATAATTTGTTAAAATAGGCACATATTCATGTTTTATTCAAGAGATGTATCTAAAGCCAGTGGAAGCTGGTGGCTCCAATCTCACCAGAGCTTCTTATCTGCTTTGGGTTTTACCCTAAACCTTATCCCTAAAACAGGTTCAGCACCATGGCTAACTCCTTTGAAGCTCAGACTGAAATCTGAGACTGAATAAGTAGTCTTCACTTGCCATCAGCCTTCACTTAACACACTTCCTAGAGTTTCTCTCTGCTGAGAGGAAATTCACAATGTGCGTAGAATCCTGGACAGAAAATTCAGCACGATCCAGCCAAAAGTATTGTGCTAAGATGAAATGAAGCCAATGTAGAAAAGGCTCTAGATTAGTATTTACCAAGGAAGGGTTTTTGTTTTTTGTTTTTTTTGCTAAGGAAAGGAAGCAAAGGAAGCAAAACTAGTCTTTGTTTTTGTGTCATTCTTTCTTTCAGGTTAGAGAAGCACATGAATCCTGATGTGGTGTGCCATTCCATTCACCTATGTGAAAAAAGGGATGGGCAACCATATTGTCATCTGTACCCTGTTCCTGAGGTGAGTTCAACTTGTGAATCTGAAACAAAAGCAATATCAAAAATAGAAGGAATTTTTCTTTTTGTGAAATTCAGTCCAGGAAGGAGATATTCGGTATATCTGAAAGGCGATTTTCCTTTCAGTCTCAAACCCATTGATTAATCAATGAGCAGATTTTAGTATGTATTGATTAGGCAGCCGTCAAAGCAACTAGAATGTGCGCTATTGATTTGGTATCCTTTTCTCGGTTTGCACTGTCTTATCCTATGACCGTGTATCATTCACTCATTCATTCATGCAGAGTTTATTCTACTCTTTCTCCATGACACTTGGGCGGTGCACAATTTTATTTTTAATTTTAATCCTTGCCAACCACACTCTTGAATGGATTAATCTAAGTGAATAGCTCATGATCAAATAGTGACATTCTTATTAAGCGGATTCAAATCCTGGTTTACCTGCTTCAAGTCCCACTCTGGGCTGGGCCCATGCCAACCTCCCCGCACTAGCCTGAGTGGCACCCAGTCTTGTGAAGCTCCTGCCATCAGAACCCCAGTAGACCATTGTACATCGGGGAATGCCAGTTACCACAGAGTCAAGCTAGGAATGGAAAATCCTCAGCCCCTGGGCTATCCGCAGGTGCCTAGCCATGCCAGTCACTAACACCACCCCTACAACACTGTGTTTGCTTAACTTACTCAACTCAGGATGTTTGATGCATTGCCGGGAACTGCTCTGAGACATGCTGCCTTGGAGGAAAGAAACGTAAATTATAAAGCTAAAGAATGAAATGTATTCAGGGACATAGATGCATAAAGTTCAGATGACCTTTTCCTTTGCTTGCCCTGTTTGTAATTTGAAGAATCATTTTAGTATTAGGAGTCTGCAAATGTTGACTGAGTCAAATGATTAAATAAACCTTTGGTATAGAGAACTGTTTGCTTCAGCTTTCCTGTTTTTTCAGCTGTATTAAATCACATGTGCCCATTTTCCCAGCATCTATGGGAAATGTTTGGACCAACAAAGAGCATCTCCCAGATAGGACACTAAGTTTAAGATCTATAGATAATTAAGTATTGATTCTAATTAACAGAAGCTCTGAAGACTTTTATGAGAAGCAGGGGATATAAAAATCTTTCTTGCATTTGTTGCACTGTTTCAGAATGCCATCTATAAACTTGTTGAACTTGTTTCAGCATGAAGGCCGAATTTCATTTTGGAGACAGTCTTGGAGGCCATATTCTGGTGGTGCGTGGGGCTAAAGACAATATTAGCATTTTTATACTTACTGCCAGTAAGTAAGCCTTTGGAGAGGCATCCCAGCCTTGTAAAATGGGGCAGGGGAGAAATGCACAAAACCCAGGAACCACGAAGCAATCAGTGGCTGGGAGAAGTGGGGTGGGCAAGGGCAAGGAGGCAACTTGGTTTCCAGGCCTGAGGTTCTGCAATCCTGCTGTAAAGCAATGATACGATAGTCGTCACCAGCAGAGGCTTGTGGCTCCAGTGTAAATGGGCAGGCAGTTCATCCATGTGGTGCTGAACTCAACTGATGGACAGCTCCTTGAAGTTCTGCCTGTGTCCTGCACTCACACAGGGGCTGCACTAGTCACCACCAGAGATGCCTTTAAAAATGAAGGCTCTCCACTCAGGATAGATCAATGAATAGAAGTTAGTCTTGATAGTTAAATGGAACCTCCAAGTTCAGAGACAGTAGAGCTCTATTTAAGAGATCTTAAGGACAGAAAGCAATCAGAACAGTTGCTGTTGTGCCCTGTTGGAGTCCCAGAAGCAACTAGTTGACTATTATTAAGTGAAAAAGCATGTATATTGATCTGAGCCGGCAAGGCAATGCTTACATTTTTAAAAACAGCTTGGCTTGTTTTTATACTAGAATAACTCATCATGGGCATGTTAATATGTAAGTAAAATATTGAGAATGAATACGAAGGATGCATAAAAGGCCATTGAAACTATGATTTTCCCACAAGAGCTGCAGTGTATGATCCATGCAAACAACTCCAGGCATGTGGGGACTAACTCCCTGTACCTACCTAAGAAATGCTGCATTTATCTGGTCCCACTGTGCAATGCAGACCATCCAAATGACTAGGAATACAGATCTCTGAAGCTGATTAGTGAAGCTTCTGGTGAGAGCTACCTCACTTTCTTTGCGCTCCGTTCTCAGACTCTGATGTGATATTTGACAGGATCAGATGTCATACACAGCAGGCCATCGTTAAACAGAATAAACTAAAGCAGCTTCCTACAAAAAAGAAGGAAATAATCTTCTATAAAAGTCTGACTTTCCGGTGACCATGCTGTGACATTGCTGATGCATCCTATCTGTTCATGCTGATTACTAGCCTGCTGAGAACATGGCATCTCTAATAGCCAGTTCAGATATTATTGGTTGCCTTGCTGAATCCTAGCAAGTCGGGCAGGAGCAGAATTGTACCTTCTCTTCCACCACAAAGTGTGCATGTGGACATTCTTTTCCCTCAAGGCAGTGTGTGTGTTGGCGGGGGATACGGCTTAACCAGGGAGGTATATTTTCAGGAATGCATGCAAAGAAGGGCTAGGGGTGATTTTTTTTTTTTTTTCAGGTTGCATTTTGATACAAACTTAACAAATTTGCACTTCCTAAAGGTTGTAAACCTAAGCAAGATTATATGAATTTCTGGAGGGGATATGGATATAATTGAAGTATATTATATATTATTAATTGTTATAATATGTGAATTAAGTGGTGATAGTATTGGTCTCTGGGATGGTGGGGGCACTTTATTATTTACTTTCTAATCTCTGTGTTTTTGTTATGTTATATTGTTATTGATGTGATGTTTTATATATGGTATTTTCTGTTTAAAAAAATTAAAAAGGCGGGAAATTAACAAATTTGCACTTTCTAAATCAATATGCGAACCAGAATGAATGCCATTATTCACAGTTCTCTAGCATTTGTGATCTAGTTCTCAGAACAAAAAATGCCTACAAAAAGATGTATATTTGCAGAAGCTTGTCTGCAAAACTATTATATATCAGTGTAGAAAAAACTTAATAGGAAAACTATTTATTTATTTGGGATATTTCTAACCCGTCCAATCACTGTGCGCCTCTGGATGGCTTATAAAATAGGTTCAATAAATGTTGTTGTTGTTGTTAGTTGTGAAGTCGTGTCCAACCCGTTGCGAACCCATGGACAACATTCCTCCAGGCCTTCCTGTCCTCCAGCATCCCCCAGAATCCACTTAAACTCACACCAACTGCTTCAGTGACTCCATCTAGCCACCTCATTCTCTCCCACCCCCTTCTTCTTTTACCATCTATTGCTCCCAGCATTAGACTCTTCTCCAGGGAGTCCTTCCTTCTCATTAGGTGACCAAAGTATTTGAGTTTCATCTTCAGTATCTGGCCTTCTAAAGAACAGTCAGGGTTGATCTCCTCTAGAACTGACCAGTTTGATCGCCTTGTGGTCCAAGGGACTCGCAGGAGTCTCCTCCAGCACCACAATTCAAAGGCCTCAATCCTTTGGTGCTCAGCCTTCCTTATGGTCCAGCTTTCACAGCCATACATTGCAACTGGGAAAACCATAGCCTTGACTATATGCACTTTTGCTGGCAGAGTGATGTCTCTGCTTTTTAGTATGCTGACTATATTTGCCATAGCTTACCTCCCAAGGAGCAAGCCTCTTTTAATTTCTTGGCTGCAGTCCCCGTCTGTGGTGATCTTGGAGCCCAGGAAAATAAAATCTGTCACTACCTCCATTTCTTCCCCACCTATTTGCCAGGAAGTGAGAGGACCGGATGCCATGATCTTATTTTTCTTAATGTTGAGTTTCAAGGCAACTTTTGCACTATCCTGCTTCACCCACATCAAGAGGTTCTTTCGTTCCTCTTCACTTTCTGCCATTAGAGTGGTATCATCTGCATATCTGAGGTTGTTGATATTTCTCCCAGCAATCTTAATTCCAACTGGGGATTCATCTAGCCCCACCTTTCTCATGATGTGCTCTGCATATAAGTTAAATAGGCAGGGCGACAGTATACAGCCTTGCCGAACTCCTTGCTCTATTTGAACCAATCAGTGGTTCTGTGTCCAGTTCTCACTGTTGCTTCTTGACCCGCATATAGGTTTCTCAAGAGACAAACAAGATGGTCTGATACTCCCATCTCTTTAAGAACTTGCCACAATTTGTTGTGATCCACACAATCAAAGGCTTTAGCATAGTCAATGAAGCAGAAGTAGATGTTTTTCTGGAACTCCCTAGCTTTCTCCATGATCCAGCATATGTTGGCAATTTGATCTCTAGTTCCTCTCCCTCTTCGAAATCCTGCCTGTACTTCTGGTAGTTCTTGGTCCACATACTGCTGGAGCCTAGCTTGTAGGATTTTGAGCATAACTTTGCTAGCATGTGAAATGAGTACAATGGTGCGGTAGTTTGAACATTCTTTGGCATTGCCCTTCTCTGGGATCAGAATGTAAACTGACCTTTTCCAATCCTGTGGCCACTCTTGAGTTTTCCAAGTTTGCTGGCATATTGAGTGTAGCACTTTTACTGCATCATCTTTTAAGATTTTGAACAGCTCAGCTGGAATACTGTCGCCTCCACTAGCTTTGTTGTTGTTCAGACTTCCTAAGGCCCATTTCACTTCACATCCCAGGATGTCTGGCTCGAGGTCAGTGACCACTCCATCGTGGTTATCCGGGATGTTAAGCTCTTTCTTGTATAGGTCTTCTGTGTAATCTTGCCACCTCTTCTTCATCTCTTCTGCCTCTGTTAGGTCCCTGCCATTTTGGTCCTTTATCATGCCCATCTTTGTATGAAACATTCCCTTCATATCTCCAATTTTCTTGAAGAGATCTGTGGTCCTCCCTATTCTATTGTTTTCTTCTATTTCTTTGCACTGTTCATTTAAGAAGGCATTCTTATCACTTCTAGCTATTCTCTGGGATTCTGCATTTAGTTGGGTGTTTCTTTCTCTTTCTCCCTTGCCTTTCACTTCCCTTTTCTTTCCTCAGCT